AAAACAAAATTGAAAAATTGTAAAAAATACAACTACTAGAAATTATAAATATATTACTTGAAATGAACAGCTCCATGTTGGTTAAACAGTTTCTTAGAGATTAGACTCAGTAAGGAAAAACTAACTTAAAACTTTAAGAAATTACATTGAATACATTCCAGCAATACAAAATGAGGAAAATCTGAAGGAAAGATTTGAAAGCATGGAGTATAGAATGAGCAGGCACTGAGGGAGCTGACAAAGACAGTATTTAACAAGACAATAGATGGGTTCTCTAAAAAATAAAATGATTTTGTGTAATTAGTGAAGCTAAAGAATGAGAAAGTGAGAGTGCTAAAACTGATGGTACATATTTAATTAATTGGAAAATATTTAGAAATGTTACTTAAAATAGTCATTAAAATTATTTTCACTTGTTTGAGAAAAAGCTGACTTGTTACTTAAAGAGAAAGCAATAGATTTTGCTATATCAAAAAGAATGAGTCATAAGTAATCAAATTTATGGCTTTAGAATTTAAAAAGATCAAAGGAAAATAAAGAGAAAACAAGAAAAAAGTGATAAAATAATAAAGAAATACATAATTTGGGAGAGATGCAAAATTGAATATTGGCTCATTAAAAAAAGAGTAATGAGAAAAAGAGTGTGAAAGAAAACCTACAGAAAGATGAATTAAAAATAAAACCAAAGGAACCAGAGACTATGGAAATAAACCAGATAAGGAATGACATTAGGACAGAAATAGAGACCCAGCAGTCATTAACAATAATGAAGTTATATAGAACAAGTTTCTTACAGTGTTACTGAAACATCGATTAAATGGATAAATTCATATAAAGTGGCTTGAAGAACAAATAGATAATTGAAATATTTATATAACTTCTAAAGAAGTATTTTCACTCAATAATAAACACCTTTACCCCCAAATATATTATTAAATATATATTAGGACAATAGTGCCACAACTTATCTGTCAGTTTGCCTTACTGAGGTGGCTGCATAATGCTGTGCTGTTGGAAGCTATGAAACTGGTACTTTAAATACCAGCAGGGTCATCCATGACGGACAGTTTCAAGACAGACTAGGAAAAAGTAGATAGAGGAAGTCTAGTTCTGAATGTTTAGCCAACAAAACTCTATGAATACAATGGAACATTATTAGATAAGGAAGATGAAGACATTATGAATAGCACCAGGATATTGTTTAATGTTGGAAGGCACATTTCAAGAGTGCAGTTGCTTTTAGTTGTCATCAACTAAGTTCTGACTCATAGCGACTCTATGCACAATAAAACACTACCCAGCACTGACCATCTTCACAATTACTGCTACACTTAACCCCATTGCTACTGCTAATGTGCCAAGTCATCTCATTGAAGATTTTACTCTTTTTTTTTACTGAGCTTCCATATTCCCATGCATGATGTCCTTCTCCAGGGACTGGTTACTTCTGATAACATGTCCAAAGTATGAGAGATGAAGTATCATTATCCTGGCTTCTAAGAAGCATTCTGTCTGTACTTTATTCAAGACAGGTTTGTTTTTCTGGCAGTCCATATTGTTGTGTAAAGTACTGTGGGTGTTCTGATATCCATTTTGGTCTTTTTCTCTCTCCTATCTTTTAGATGACCTTTTGTTTTCTTCCTATATTATGATTTTGATGTCATACCACAACTCTTCTGGTCTAAAGCATCAAATCTGTTCTTGAGATGATCTCTAAATTCAGGTGGGATATATTCAAGGTCACATTTAAACTTTGGTTAGTTATTTTAATTTTCTTCAATTTTAGTCTGAAATTGCATATGAGCAATTGATGGCCTTCTTCACAGCCTGTCCCTTGCCTTGTTTTGCCTGTGACACTGAGCTTTACCATTGTCTCATCCCACAGATGTAGTCAATTTGATTTCTGTCTATTCTATCTAACTGAGGTTCATGTGTATAGTCAGCTTTTTATGTTAAGAATGGTATTTACTATGAATAAGCAGTTGGTCTTGAAAATCTTTCATTTGATCTACAGCATCATCTTTATCAGTGGGAGCATAGTTTCCAACTACAGATCCTTCCTCTGTATTTCCAACTTTTGCATTCCAATCACCAACAATTTTTAGTACATCTTGATTACATGTCTGATCAATTTCTGACTGAAGAAGTTGGTAGAATTTTTCTATTTCACCATCTCTGCTTTAATGTTTGGAGTGTAATTTTGCATATTAGTTTTATATCTTCCTTGTATGTGTAAGAATGCCATCCTATCACAGACCCCATTGCATGATGAAATGCAATGCCATTTCTCTTGATGTTCCCAGTATAGTAAACCACATGATTGTAGAATTAAAATGGTCAATACCAATCTATTTCAGCCCACTAATGTGTAGGATACTATTCATTATGAATTTCAATTTATCTTAACAACTTCTAATTTTCCTAGATTCATGCTTTGTACATTTTATGTTGTACTCTTAATGTGGCAATGTAGGATAATCATAGGTCTACTATCTTCAACATTTCCAAATAATTTGGAAGAAAACTATCTGGCCAACCAATTGGAGGAGATTTGTATGTTTACCCACTCCAAAGAGAGGTTACCCAATGGAATTCAGAAATCATCAGACAGTATTTTTAATATCCCATGCAAGTAAAGTTTTACTAAAGGTAATACAGAAACGGCGGCAACCATACATTGACAGAGGACTTCCAGAGTTTCAAGCCAGATTCAGAAGAGGATGTGGAATGGGTGATATCATTGCTGATGTCCAATGGATCTGGGCTGAAAGCAGAGAATATCAGAAAGATATTTACCTGTGCTTTATTGGCTATGCAAAGGCCTTCGATTGTGTGGATCATGACACTCTATGGACAACATTACGAAGTATGAGTATTTTGGAACACTTAATTGTGCTAATGAGGAATCTGTACATGGGCCAAGAGGCAGTTGTTTAAACAGACCATGGGAACACTGAATGGTATAAAATTATGAAAGGTGTGCAACAGGGCTGTTTTCTTTCACCATACTTATTCAACCTATATGCTGTGCAAATAATCTGAGAAGCTGTGTTCTATGAAGAAAAGCGTGGCCTCAGGATTGGAGGAAGACTCATTAACAACCTGTGATATGCAGATGATACAACTTTGCTTACTGCAAGTGAAGAAGACTTAAAATACTGATGAAGATCAAAGATCTTGATCTTCATTCAGACCTGCACTTCAGTGTAAAGAAAAGAAAAATCCTCTCCAATGGACGAATAAATAATCCCTAGATAAATTTAGAAAAATTTGCAGTTGTCCAAGACTTCATTTTGCTGAGTCCAACAATTAACACTCATGGAAACTGCAATCAAGAAATCAAAAGATGTATTGCATTAGACAAATCTGCTGCACAAGACCTCTTTAAAGTAAAGTGTTCAAGAGCAAAGATGTCAGTTTGGGGATTAAGGTGTGCCTGACTCAAGCCTTAGTTTTTTTGTTCTCATGTACATTGAAAGTTTTCCTAGAGTTGTACTTTGTACATCCCATGTTCTGATTATTAATGGGTATTTACAGCTATTTCTCTTTATTTTGAGCTGTGCATCATCAGAAAATGAAGGTTCTTAAGGCTTAACTCCTTTCATGTGATCACAGTCAACTCTAATTTAGAAGGCAGATCTTCTCCAGTTCGTATTTTGTGCCTTCAAACCTGAGGGGCTCATCTTCTGGGACTGTATCATAGACTGTTATGGTACTCTTCATCATGTTTCAATATTCTATATTCTGGTGCTATCTTACAGTGTCTCATTACTATTCATAAGGTTTTCAGTGGCTAACCACTCAGACCTAGTATGCGTCTTCTTTCTTGTCTGTGTTATTCTGTATGCTCCACTGAAACCTTTTGCCATGGGTACCCTGCTGATGTTTACAATACTGATGTCATAGCTTACAACCTCACTGCAACACACCACCACAGTAAGACAGGCTGATAAACAAATGGTGGTGGCTTAACAGTTGGAACTTAGTTAATATAATGATAAAATATGTTTATCTTTCTAAAATTGTACTGATTCTCTGATGGAGACTTAAATTCATAAATAAATTGAAAAGATTTTTCATGTTTAAAATTTCAAAGATTTTTATACAGAAGAAAACATTTTTATACACTTATTCAATCCAATTTGTGTTGTTTTCTAGCTTTTTTTTTTTTTTTCTTTTTCTTCCTATAGGCCTTGCATGCTCATGATGGGTTTATTGTTAAATTTATGCATTTATTTTGTTTTATTTATAGTTTTGTGAGCGAGGTTATTCTGATGTCTGTATATTCTTTATTTATATAGAAATATGTTTATTTTGTATATTAATATTATATGAGCTACATTATCAATTACAATAATTTTCTGTTGATTCTTTTGTATGTTTGGATATAGATTTGTTCCGATCAGAAAGTCATAGTCATTTTTGTCTTTTTCATTCTGACATTTGTAACTCTTATTTCATCTTTTCATTTCTGCATAATTTTCAAGGAAGTCCTTTCCTATTATAATTTTTCTCACTTCAGAGATGTTTTACAGAATGGATATACGTAATCCAATTCTTTGGTGTAATGCATAAAATTTGATAGTTGGCTCAGACCCCTCCAGTGGAAGAAAAGCATGATGTTCTGCTTCTGTAAATATTACAACTAAGATGACCAAACGCAACACTTTAGTCTATAACACACTAGGTTACCGTAAGTCATAATGGACTCAAACACAACCAGTATACATAGTCCAGTTAAGAATACATTGATTCTATTAAATTAGTCTTATCCTGGAACAATGATTAACTCTTAAAACATTATTTTCATATTTTTCATGATGAATGTAGACAGAAACATCTTTTACAATGCAGGGTAAAGTCATATTGTAGTTTTAGTGAGACTTAAAGATAAGTAATTTCTGAAAATAAAATATTTCATATTTGTTACCAATTTTAAATTTCCTTATGGGTGTTTATGCTTTAAAATCGGACAGGCTTTTGTTTTCTTCTTTTCTTAGAACATGAGACCTATTTGAGGGATATTATAGAATTGCAATGGCATATTTCAAATAAAGTTCATCAACAAGAACATTTAGAGTTGCAAAAGACAAAGTTAGAAGAAGCAAATTCAACGGTTCAAGCAGACATAGATTATATGGATGAACATGCTCCTCTACTGGACTCAAAGCAAAACCAGGAACTTGATGCCTTGAGGGATTGTTACTTAAAAAAAAATGAGGTAAATGGATATATAATTCACAAAATGTTGCAAAGTAATGCAATAATATATCAACAATAAACATTAGTATATTTAAAGGTTTTATTTTTTGTTGAAAACTGATCTGCTACTTATTTTCCCAATAAATCATAAAACTGTACACTATCTATTGATTCAAGAAAAAATAGAAAAACTGAACACACCTATAACAAGTGAAGTGATTGGATTTTTATTAAAAATCCCTCCTGTAATTGATTGAATTGTGTGCAGTCATTCTACTGTTGCTATTGTTCTTGCTGCCATCAGGTCAGCCCCCAACTCATGTTATGCACATGAAACACTGCTAGCCCTGAGCCATCATTACATCTGGTTATACATCACACCCTTGTGATACATAGGGTTTGCTGCGCTGATTTCAGAAGTAGATTCTTAGGCCTTTTCTGCTCAGTTCTATAAGGTTGCTATGAGTCAGAACAGACTCAAGAACAATGAGGTAGCACTAGCTATAGGAGGCATTAGTGCCCCAGTGGTAGAATTCTCAGCTGTATGTGGGATATGGGTTTGGTTCTTGGTCAATATATGTTTTATGCAGCCACTACTCATCTCTCAAGGAGCTCTGGTAGCGTAGTGGTTAGGAATTGGGCTGCTAACCTCAGGGTCAGCAGTTCAAAACTACCAGCTGTTCCGCAGGAAAAAGATGAGGCTTTCTGCTCCCGTAAAGAGTTACTGCCTTGGAAACACTGCATAGGGTCTCTATGAGTCAGAACCGACTCCATGCACGCAACAAAAACAACAACCCATCTCTCAGTGGAAACTTGCAGAGCTTGCTTGCGGGCTATGATGCCAAACAGATTTCAGAGGTGATTCTAAACAAAGATAACTAGGAGGAAAGACATAAACCTGCATTTATGATCGTCATGATCATGATGTGCCATGGAGTCAGTTCTGATTCATAGCAACCCTGTACAGGGTTTCCAAGGCTGATAGTGGGTTTTATTTTCTATATACAATATCCCTATGGTCATGTATCATATGTGTTTTTTCATAGAACTATCTGATATAGCTCCAGAAGATCAGTTCTTCAGGTTGGAAGCCAATCAAAATATGAAGGAGGAAGAGCTGCCTCCTCAAAGTAGATTAGACCTTAATGATGTGGATAGAGCAAAGCTTTGGGGACCTTCTTTGGCTGATGAGTCATGATTCAAAATGAGAAGTTATAGTTACCAATATCCATTAACACTTGAAGCGTGGGATGTACAAAATACAAATATAAAAAAATAGAAAGTCATAAAAAAAATGAAGTGGGATGCATAAAGATTGATATCCTAAGTATTAGTAAGCTGAAATGAACTGGCATTGGTCTTTTTAAAATTGAATAGTCATATGGTTTACTACATTGAGAAAGACAAATTGAAGAGGAATGATGTTATATTAATTACCCTAAAGTACATTTCAACCTTTCAAGATCTGTCTTGAGGTACTATGTTGCCTGTGGTAGAATGATATCCATATGCTTACAAACAAGATCAATTATAAGATTATTATGCAAATTTACACACAAACCACTAAAGCCAATGATGCACAAATGAATTTTATCAGATTCTTCCATCTGAAATTGTTCAAACATGCATTCCAGATGCATTGGTAGTTGTTGGTGACTGGAATGTGGAAACTGGAAACAGAGCAACGATCACTAGCTGGAAAATATGACCTGGTTTATAGAAATGATGCTGGAGACCATAAAATAATATAATTGTGCAAGACCAATGACTTACTCATAGCAAATTATTTCTTTAGCAATTTAGATTGCAACTATCTTGCTTGCTGAAAATGAAGAAGACTTGAAGCACTTATTGATGAAGAACAAAGAATACAGCCTTCAATATAGATTACATCCCAATGTAAAGAAAACAAAAATCCTCACAATTGGACCCATGAAAAACAGTATGATAAACAGAGAAAAATTTGAAGTTGTGAAGGATTTCATTTTACTTGGAACCAAAATCAATGCTCATGGAAGCAACAATCAAGAAATCAAAGGACTTATTGCACTGAGCAAATCTGCTGCACAAGATCTTTTTAAAGCGTTAAAGAGCAAATATGTTACTTTAAGGACTAAGGTGCCCCTGATCCAAGCCATGATAATTCAATCACCTTATATGCATGTGAATTCTGGACAATAAATAAGGAAGCGTGAAGAAGAATTGATGCATTTTAATTATGGTGTTAGCAAAGAATATTGAACGCATCATGGACTGCCAGAAGCACAAATATATCTGTCTTGGAAAAAATACAGTCAGAATGCCCATTAGAAGTAAGAATTGTGAAATACTTTGTCTCATTTATTTTGGACATGTTATAAGGAGTTATGAGTCCCTGGAAAAGGTCATCATTCATGGGAAAGTAGAGGTCAGTTGAAAAATGAAGACCCCAATCAGATGGATTGACACATTGGCACAGCAGTGGGCACAGGCATAACAGCTCTGAGGGTGACTCTGTGTTTCATTCTGTTGTGCATAAAGTCACTATGACTAGCAGTAAACTGGAGGATATCTAACAACAACAATAGCAACATACATTTGGTTGTAATCCCATTGGGAATAAAGTTTTCTTTGTTGAGTTAATGAGGTCACACCAATGTAGAGTCTGTCTTAAACCAATCACCTATGTGCTATAAAATGAGTAGCGTAGGAACTGAAGCAAGGAAGCACACAACAGAAATATAGATGTCATATCGCTTGAAGATCACCAAGGAACTGAGGGAAAGAAGCTGAAAAGAAACAAGGACATTCCCCAGAGTCAACTAAAAGAGGAAGCCTTCCAGTAAGGCAGGTGCCCTGAAATTGGACTTTTGCCTCCTAAGCTGTGAGAAACTTAATTTATGGTCATTCAAGTCATTCACTTGTGGTATTTCTGTGACAGCAGCAGCCAATAACTAATGTACCACCCCACGTTTCTTTCTCTTGTCTGATTCTTTATAATTAGATACTAAGTGCACATATTAGTAAGAATATCTTTTCTTTTCTAGGTAATGGAACTATACAATCGTGTCCATGAAGAACTTGAGGAAGTAAAAGAAAGCTGCCAAAATGCCAACTTGAAGGCTGAGCAAATTAAATCAGAAATGGATAGAGATATTAGAAATGGTGAATTAAGCTTGGAAATGTATAAGTAAGAATTATTAACAAATGGTACTTACAATCCACCCACTGCCATCGAGTTAATTCCTACTCATAGTCACACTACATGCATAAATCTTTATGGGAAGAGACAGCCTCATCTTAATGCTGCAGTTATTGGGGGATTTGAACCTCTGATCTTGTGGTTAGCGATCTAGTTCCTATTCTATAGTGCCACTAGGGCTTCTCTAATGATACTTACAGCATTTTAAAATGTTCCTTTTATGAAACAAATACTAATTAAAAAAATATATTTCCAAACAAAAATTTCTCATTTTTTCTACCTTTTCATCCCTGCACCACCTGATCTCTGACCCTCCATCTTACCCAGCATGACATCCTTCTCCAGTGACTGTTCCCTCCTGACAATATGTCCAAAGTATGAGAGATGGAGCTTAGCCATCCTGGCCTCCAAGGAGCACTCTGGTTGCACTTCTTCCAAAACAGATCTATTGGTTCTTTTGGCAGTCCAT